AAATAATGTTCAACTAAACCACCTGAACTGACGACTTAAGCTGAGTTGCTCCCGTTACATCTTCCTTCTCGTCGAACTTTTTAAACATTCTAAACTGAGCATACATGCGAGTAAACTATTTTATTTTCAAGTACTTCAAGATCATATACTTTCTGACAAAGCAGGGATGATATGTGGTGAATAGAACTATTTATTGTTTTCATAAATAAAATTAAAGAAGGCACGGAAGTGACAAGAACAAAAATTTTATACCGGACAATTGCAGATGTGGAATGTATGTAAAACACAGCAATAAATCTATCTACGGCTGACTAGGGGCCTGTGGGCAACTATAAATCGGCGCATAAGACACTAACAACCTTCTAGTAGTAGATGCAGCGAGTACGATGAAAAGGCACCTACAGTAGCAGTTTGTAGAAGTTCAAACATACAGATAATAAAAAAGTATAACCAAGATGAAGTAGGTGCTCACCTTCCTCTCAATCTCCGCTGCATGCTTACGACGATATAGCCAAACGAAAACATCGACATCCATGGCATAGACAGGTCGCACCACATCACCTTCTGCAGCTCGCAGTTTTTCTATTGCCAAGACAATTTGCTGTAAAATTATGCCATAAGCTGAAATTCAAATCTGTAAGAGTTTGCCACATTATTCATGTACTCCCGACTGAACGTCACTAACAGCATTCCAACACAAATCACTTTCTCTGTTTCTCCATTTCCTCTTTTTCAAGAAAAAGAACTAATCGTAGGATACTTGGGGAGATAAAAACTACTCAAAATTATGTTCCTTTCAAAAATATGCTTAAATAAACCTTCAAATATAGTATAGAGGTTGAACACAAAACTTCTCACCTCACATCCCCAGATCGAAGCTCCTCTTAATTCTACTTCTTCAGGACTGCCATTATCAAGGCGATGGTTGGTTGAGAGAATACTGAGAAGTTTTTCTGAATATTCCAAAACTCCCAAATATGCTAAAGCTTGCGGTACTCGATAATCCGCAAACATCGTAAGAATACTGCAATGATGAAAT